GCTCTAGATCGGTGGTGTGGTCAACCCATTGCATGAATGCCACAAATGGCGTGGGCAGTCAGGAATGGGGACAGGTGCTACTGAATTCAGTGTTGCCATGTCCTGGTTGTGACCAGATTCAGTGGCACAGGGCAAGAGCTGAGTGATTATCAGTGGCACTATCTCCTACTTTGGACTTAATTTGTCATACGCTTGCCAAAAATATTGGCCACCACTACTGTAGATGGGTATAACCTCATATATGTGATCATCCTTACTACAAATGGGTCAGCACCTATAGACACCGCAGTTCCCCACACATCTCAGAACATTAGGATAAGTGAACTATTCCCTCACCATTGCTTGGTGCATCTAAGGAGCAATGGAAGGCCATGGTCTCCGACTAGTCCAAAGAGGGACACACTTAGCCACTTCAGATATCGGATCCCCAGGTGCTATCAGGGCTCTCTCACTGCATTTAGTGTAAAGGAGTGAAAATCTGCTTGAAGAAGGGATATGGCCCTGGACTTAGAGCAGAAAATTTCCTCTCATCTTTTGCTTGTATTTTTTTATCTGTAAATAATATACTTTTCACCACAGATAGCACTCCTCAAATTAGAAAAAGATATCTAATTCCCATGAGAGAAAGCAAAGGTTACTATCATAGTAAGGAAGGCCAAGAACTTAAATGGTTATATTACCAAGGCGCATTGGCTTTGTACATTTTACAGCTGCTACAGTTTGTCTCAGTAACATACTGCCTGGCCTAATTGCTGTTTTCCAAGGTCTGCTTCCAATTTGCAAACACTCTTATTAGTCCATGGTACATTATAATTTACCTGAGCACCCAAATTCTGAACACTTCATTTGGGAGGGGTGGGCTAAAGCAATTGGAGAAGTTATATGTGAACAGAGAATTTGTTTTTTTGATATTTTCTTGGATCTAAATCTGAACAATGAAGCAGTAATGGGATAACAAAGAGATCCATATTTACTACCAGTGAGTAATTCTTACCTAAGCAAAATCTCCTTTGGGGTGGCCAGAACATTTACTTAGAGACTGAGTGAAGACTGAAGCCTTATAAAATCAGACTAGAAATAATGCTAATAAACTATCAAGAATGTTTATATTATAAACATGTGTTATCCTTAGTCTGTGATTACTGCAGAAAGAAAACCACGGGAAGTTTTCTTTGCTGAAGAACGGTGCAGTATTTTCCATGGGAAAAATATTTAAATAAAAGCTTTTAAAATATGGCATCCTCAGGGTTTTAGCTTTAAATAAGCATTTCAGTCATAATAAAAAACCCTCTAATGTCTCCTGCAGCTTTGATTTTGAACACGTCACATTCTTCATTAAAGCAATCACTGTTAAAACAGAGGGACATAAAGCAACATAGGATTTATTCCTTCATTAAACTGATGATCCGTATATGAAGCCAATTAACATTATGAGTCTGGTGAACATCAAGTGTAAAGAGGTTACAGAAAATTAAAAGCAGTCACCTTGGTCTTTAGATAAAGAAAGAACACTTTTACATTATAAATTATAAGAGTGTCCAAGCGGGACAAATCGGCAAATTTGGTTAATTGGAAAATACATTTTACTGCACATGAATTAAGGTAAAATAACCTTTTAGCTGCTAGCTCTTTTTGTGCTCAGGTACTGAGTAGCATTCAGAAAGCAAGTGTTTGTGGCAGCCAGAGACAAGGACTCGCTTCCAACTTGGATCACTCCGACTTGCTGGAGTTCTGCAAACAAGCAGCGAGACTTCAAGCTCTCGGGGGAAAGGTTTTTGTCCCGGGTGATTTTGTTCAGTCGGTTCAATCTGCCTCGAGGTGTTACTGTAGAAACTAAATCTATCGCGGGGCAAGTTAAGACGACAATGCTGCGTGTGCCCGTGCCTATGGGGATGCCCAGGACGTTGCCTTAAGAGCCGCACACAAGCTAAACAAGAAAGGCAGCCCACGACTGTGTGAGTGAAAGAAAGCAGTTTGGCTAAAACAGGCAAACACGAACCGCAAACGTCTCCGCGCCGTTTCTCACGTGTGCGCGCAGCTCAGTGACTCCCCTAACAAGGGGAAGCGCTGCGGGGTTTCACCTCAGCCGGGCAGGTAGCTTCCCTCCTAGGGATCTTCAGCTGAAGATTTGATGTCGGCCAGCCCCGAAGCTGGAGTGGCCACACGCTCCCCTACTGCGAAGCAACTTCCTGCCTGTACTCCGCGCACCAGCTGCGGACGCAAACGTCCAGTCTGTGATGCCAAGTTACTGAGACGTACAGAAAACCCTTGCAAGGGCTCTCCCGGACAGTGTCGTGACCAAAAGGCAGTGAAAGCAGTGAAGAGGGCGACGGCGGGGCGGGGCGGGGCGGGGCGGGGT